AAAGACAAAAGACAAAGAAAGTACAATTAGAGTTTGGGTTTCAATGTAGGGGACAACTCGGCTGGTCGAATTAGGAAAGCAGCAGCAGCGGCAACCGGCAACCTAGGCAACAGCAGCGCCAACGCAGCATCGATGGCAATGCAAAACCAATGGCAATGTGAAATTCTAGAGATGGAGATTCCGTCGTCACCGGAGAAGAAGAAGAACTAATTTTAAAATTCTTAACTATCATGCATACTCCTAGAAGAATTTAGTTTCTAAAATTGTTTAAGATCACACAATTTCATGATTTTGTGCGTGATCTTCGATCAATTTTTCAACATCCATAATTTTTGTCCGATTTAAATTGTTGAACCCACTTAACATCATAAAATCATGCAATTTTATGATTAAAATCGTGATCTTAACAACCATGCATGCTATAGGAAGTTTAAGCAAAAAGGAAACTCGTAACATACCTGATCTTTCATTCAATGAAGGCACAAACTTAAAAATTCTGTATATTGCAGATCTGAATGTAAGTGATCAAATTAATACTGCTTCTATTCTCAGAAAAAAATATTTCTGGCTTGCTAAAACAACCAACTACCTAACCTTTTAAAATCATAATTTGCATATATGCGTATGGAAGCCAATGGCCCATGACCATGAGCATATATTTGCAAAAAATAATTGATACACACTTAATTTAATATATTGTTTGACACTCATTTTAATTCACTTATTAAAATATAATATAAATATAATCAATTTAATCAGTTTTTACATTTTATATGCACAAATGCATTTTTAAATTTATTTGCTTTTAATTTCATACAAGAAAATAATTTTTTTTAATAAATTTGTTGTACAATATGTTAAACCAAAGTGTATCAATTAATGTCCTTTTTTTTGCCTACATATGCAAGTATTCTTGATCTATGGCGGCAACCTTCATGTGACAAGTTTATGATTATGACAAGTTACAACAATACTACAAAATAACAAAATTTAAATTCCATCATTCTATTGATTTATGGCAATATGAGTACATTTTACTCAAGTAGGCCAACTCAAATTTCATCCACTGCATTGTATAAATAACTAAGCATGACATACATTGCAAGTCTTGAAAGAAAATGGCAAAGTCAAGTGACTGAATTTCATTAAATCTGGCTTCATTTTAGTGTTACCTAAATTTCAGTAGAAAACTAGCGCATCTAATTACTAATTTTCAGTGCAAAACCATAAATCATGGTAAGACAAAAAGAGTGACATGGTAAAAATAAATGATGAAGGCCAAAACACCATTAATGAAAGGGGGGGAAAAACACTATAAAAGATACATGTGCTGCGTAGGTTGGAGGAAGAATCATTGTGATTTGCGAGTGTGTATTCCAATCTTAAAATGTGCTGAACCTTACCTATAAGAGCTCTGTTCAAAGAACCATACCCATAGGTAGCACAAGGAGCCAGACGATAGCCTGCAGCCTCTATAAAGACAAGTCATGACTTCTTAGACATCGTTATCAACTGCACAATTTGGCCTCAAACCTCATTGCAAAACATCTGCTGTGAAATCAAGCTAATTAAGATGCATAACACAATCTAGTATAGATTTAAATTATGTAAATTTGCTAACATGACCTTTTTTTTTTTTGCTACATTGGATGATGAGTTATATAATAGGGAATAACCCTCTCCTTCCCAAACTTAGTCCTTTACCAATCCTAAGATTCGAATTTAAAATTTTCAACATGAAAACTTAAACTCTTAACCACTAGAGCGTCCCTTTTGAGGCTTGCTAACATCATCTTGTGAGTAGGGATGTCAAATGCTTCATCGTGGTAGATGTTCTAGGATATTCTAATGTTTTTTGTTTTTCGTTTATTTTAATATTAGGGTAAGAGAACTGGAGCTCGCCTCTTTTAGGGCCCTTTGATATAATGGTTAGTGATTTTATCTAAATGGCTAAGAATAAATGTTTAGCAAACTTGCATATTTTAAAA